AACCTAGTTCCGAGGCAGAATTATTCAATAGTCAGCATCTTAAAGTAGGTAAAACAGGTGATAAAGCATTTCCCTTGACTGCTTTTTCCCTTCTTCCTCTTTGCAGGCACGGTGGGGTGACGGGTGTGTTGGTGGTGTGCTTGGAGTGGTGCGGCGTGAATCTCATTTGTCTCAATCTACACTCAGTACATTTCTTTCCGGATGGTAAGCCATCTACTCGGAATGCCTTCTCTTGTTTTCCAGAGGTTCCACGCAGCTCTTAACAGAAGTAGAAATGACTCTAAAGTGACAGTATAAACAGGCACATGAATTCCCTTGTGTAAAATCACACACACATGAAAACAGAAAAATACCTGTGCTTGAAAAACTTTACAAGAAATCAACATTTATTGAGTGCATAGCTCTATACTTTATTGACTGAACAACAAGCTCATCGCTTTCCTTGAAAAGAAGGCCCCAGAGTCATGCACGAAAGGAAACAAATCTAAGAAAGAAGTCGCGGTACACTTCCTCAGGGGCTGTGTAGCATTTTCTGTCGAAATCACACACTAATTCTCTACCTTACCACATTGTCCTTCTGAATAAATGTGCGGTTTCATCAGTGCAAGGTGTGTGACAGATCGTGTTTTTCTTTATGGAATCTATGATTTTAGAAGGAACACAGATTTAATTGAATACAGTTCGGGTCTGCCAGCAGCATTAGCGAAGACCTGTGATTAATTGAAAGCCTATGGAGTCTTTAAATTATGACAACCTTTCCAGGATTAGAGTGGCCCCTCACGCTCTTACTCTACCCTTCCTCTCTTTCACTTGCTTCCTGAGTGTCTCCTCACCACGCTGGACCTTTCATCATATGTCCATCCATCATTGTTCGATTCCTACTGACAGTTCCACAAGTTTCTCTCTGAGACACACATGTTAAAACATTGTAGACCATGGCAAGAACTCTTTTTTTGTACTATGTGATGGCTAATTTTATGTGTCATCTTGACTAGTATAAGATAGCGGGTATGTATAATCTACAGATAGCTGGTAAAATGCAATTTCCGGGTGTGTCTGTAGGGGTGTTTTCTGGAGGAGATTATCATTGGACTCTGTAGGCTGAGTAAAAAAGTTGTCCCCCACCCACACAGGTGGGCATCTTCCAGTTCACTGAGGGACTGAATACCACAAAACATCAGAGGAAGGGGAATTTGTTCTCTTGCTTGAGTTGGGATTTTCATATTCTCCTGCCCTTGGACATTAGTTCTCCTGGTTCTTAAGCCTTTGAACTTGGACTGAATTACATCAGTTCGAGTTCAGCTCAACCAGCTTGCCTGGTTGTCCAGCTTGCAGATGGCAGATTGTGGGATTTCCCATCCTCTATAATACTGTGGGCCAATTTCTATAATAAATCTCTGTTTCTCTGTCTCTCTAGATAGATAGATAGATAGATAGATAGATAGATAGATAGATAGATAGATAGATAGATAGATATGGATGCATGTGTATAAATTATATATATATTTACATTATGTGCTTTTTATGAGTTGGAAGAATTTGTTTTTAATTCTATTTCCCCAACAATAGTTCAATGAACATTTTGAAATCCTAACCAAATACCATTTTTTATAGATGGAGCTGAGATCAAGGAAAGCTCCCATGACCGGTCAGCTGAGGCTGGCAGAGCTGGCCAGTGACAGAGCCATGATCAGAAGCCCCAGCTTCTGCTTTCAACACAGTGCATTTTCCACACCTCTCATGGCTCTTGTTCATATTCAAAAGTTTAATTGTATTTGAATGTTCCCAGTATGAATAGCTAATAAATCCAGAGGAATCGTTTTTTCTATGCTTCGTTGGAAGCCAGTCAGCACGGTTTGACTTCTAAGGTTATTGACATTTCCTAAGTGATAGCTGCTCACTGTAATGTGCAAAGACTTATTTAGCTGGCTTAATGAAAATCCAATCATTTCTACACTTTGAGGATGCTGAGTTAAGTAAGAGAAAGACAGAGAGAAGGGGGGCCAAAAGCCCTGCAAACACGAATCGATCTATTAATATCATTTTTGCTAGTCCAATAGGATATGACATGAAACATTTTTACAAGATTAAAACATATATGTGTATTCATTTTAATGAGAGAAATTCAGAGAAGTGGTGCCTAGCTTCAGGGTTGAGGAATAATAAAAAATAGACAGTAATAAACGTTATACTGTAGTCGTTTTGACTGCTCAGGGGAAATAGATTTGGAATAAAAATGAGATGGGCAAGACAATCTAACTTGTACCAATATACACTGTAAATTACTAAAATAAAATAAAATTAAGTAAACCCGAATAGCCAATTTTTAAAATAGCTTAGATGAGACTAAAAAGGTGCAAAGGTCTGCTGAATCAATCTTTCCCAAGGCTGTTGTGTGTGAATGTCTTTTTAAAAATTGTGCTTGGGCATTTATTCTCATAAAAGCAAATTCTTACAAACTATCTAAGGAACGAGGGCTTGTAACCGGCGATCAGGAAACTTAAACTTAGGTTGGAATAAGCTGTTGACGCGCTTTCAATGTTTTTTGCGATCACAAAGTTGAAAAATGTGTTCGTGTGAGGAGGAGGGATTTGAATTAAATACTACCCTCACTTAAGTGTGTGAACTTGCCTGAAGATGAAAACATTTTAATTTTGGGGGGGAAGGCGGGTGGGAAGGATATAGGAACAGGAGAGATAATAGCCTCATTTAAATGATTTAACCCAAAAGTGTTCTATATAAATTACTCTTTCAATATTTATTTTTCATAAATAATATCACATATCAGAAATATGATGCCTATTTCATATCTATGTGGTCATTGTTAGATAAAATGGAAACGATAGTCTGAAGAAATCCTTTACTTTTAATTTGCTTTTGAACTGAAGCAAATGCAAATTAATAAGTATTGTTTCACCTCATTGCTACTTACAAAGTGGGTTTGTCCTGTATTGACTTGTGTCGGTAATTTAAAGAAGTGTACTTTAAACTCATCAATTTCACCATAATTTAAGTTTCTTCATAAACTTCCTGAACATATCCCCCCAGATTGGTAATGTATATAGAGGTATAAAGTTTTAAGCAGTGTAAATAATATTTTGTTTAAACTTGTTTCTTTGAACCTTTCATACTTGACAGAGTTGGGGGTAAATATAAACCATGAACATATTTAAAAGATGTAAATGTACTAATAGCCTTTAAAATTATGATTTATGAATCACAAAGCTCATTCATGTTGATAGGAGATAAAACAGCATAAAACAGCAATTTTATTGTAAAGTTGGTAGTGGCAAAATACTTGCTTTATTGTTTAAATGAAATTCAATGTAATTCTGCATCTCAGAGTCACATTTTAATAATTGCAAGCTTGCAGAAAATAAGAAAAAAATGATTCAAGCAAAAACACAATAGATATTCAGAAAAGCCGTGGTATAAATGATTATCTCAGGAATAGATGCCAAGTTTAGAAAATACAGAACAAATTAAGAAAAAATAAAAATCACTGCATACTCATGAAAGTATATTCTCATTATTCACATATTTGCATTTTGTATATTTCTACACCCAAATTGTAATAAAACTCTTAAGTACAATATATGTAGTGTTTTTCTCACTACATATTATATTGTGAAAATTTTCTTATGCCATTAAAATTTTTCAAAGACCTATTTTTATTACATGAAATAGTCTTTTATATAGATCTGTCCTAATTAAGTGAATTATTTTCTAATTGTTGAAAATTTGACTTATTTACATATCATAACAAGATTGTTATTACTGTAACAAGATTGTAATGGAGATATTTTTACATATTTTTATATCCAAATATGTGATGATGTAATTAGGAGAGATGTCAGAATTAGAATAATTAAGTCAAATGGTGTACACATTTTTAAGTCTCTCGATACAAACTGTTGAACACTTTCTAGATGTTTGAACTAATTTATATCCCCTGTATCCACTCATGAACACGGTAATATTTTGAAAAGATTTTTCACATATAGGAACATACTTTTCTTCAATCATGATAGTAACCACAGAAACTGAACTTTTAAAAATATATTCATCAAACCATCATGTTCTCTTATTTTCTCTTTTGTCCATTTGCCTGTTCATTATTACATATTCCTATATTTTACATTTATTTTTAAGGGTGTATATATATACATGTGTGTATATATGTGTGTATGTGTGTATATAAACACATTAATCTTGGCATATTGTCCCATTTCAAAATGTTTATTTTAATTTAATTTATGCTGTTTTTTGGCATTAAGAAGTCTTTAGTTACTTCTGATTACCAGGGGGCAATAGGGGTGGGAGGGGATAAATTCGGAATTTGAAATTTGCACCTCTTGGGGAGTGATGGAAATGTTAGCTATCTTGATTGTGGTGGTGGTTTCATAGCTGTATACATCTATCAAAATTCATCAAATTGTACATCTGAAATATGTGTAGTTTACTGTACAGGAATTTATACCACAATAAAGGTGTTAAAAGAAAAAAAGAAGCTTTAGTTACTCTGCCTTTAGATCTTACTAAAAAAATTTTTTATAATTTCTTTTGTTCTAGTAATTAACAAATTATTTCCTAATCAACAAGTTAAATTATTTTTTAATTTTATTTTTAGTAGTTTATTTAAATATTCACTCTTTTGTCTATTTGAAACTGATTTTGGCTTATGATGTCAACACTATTTACTGAATAATGCATTCCTTCTTCATTGGGTGGTGGTAGTTCTTCAGTGTGATGTATCATTGTTTATAAAGAGTAAGGTCTATTTTATGGCAGTTTACTGTGTCTACTAATTTGCCTATTAAATCTGCTATAGCACCAGATTATTATTGTACTGAATTACTGTTCTGGGTTGTTTGGTACAGCCCTGTTTTATTTACTTTATAGCTTACAATCTATTTTAATATCCTGGAAGGTGTGTCTTTCCTTATTACTCTTCTTTTTCCAAATTTTCTTAGCTATTAATTGCCTCTTCATTTTTCCAGGCGAAGTTTATGGTTCAAAACCAAAGAGACTACCCTAAGGAAAAGACTTGTAATCGTATTGAAAATATACATGATTTTTAAGAAGAATGACAATATTTGTTCGCCTCATCCAGCCACATGGTAAATCTCTCCATTTAGGTAAGACTTACTTTTTGCCTTCCAGTAATGTTTTAGGTTTTCCCTTTATATATATGTTCATATGTTTATATTTTGCAGTGTGCCTAGCTATTTTACGTTTTTCTCTTTCTGTTTGCTTTTGTCTATAGATAGGTGAGCAATCTATTTATATATCTGCATATAAGAAACAAAATATCATTTACAATGATTAGCAACGTTAAAAAAATGGTACTCACATTGGGGAGCGCAAGTGAGACCGTGCAGTCGTGCATTAACAAGGTTGCTGCTGGTGTGGACAATAGCCATTGCTAATGCTTGCTTAGGGCTTACGCTTTGTCAGATGTGATTTAAGCATTTTGGAAACGCTATCTCATATAGGCTAACCACACAGTAAGGTAGGTCTGACTATGACAGAGAGTTTAAGTAAATAGTCCAAGTTCAACCAAATGGTTCCAGGAGGACTCAAAACCAAGCAGTTGGACCTTACAATCTGTACCGCTAGCGAGTAACTGTGGTTTTTTTTTTTTTAGTATAAAAGCTTTATGAGTTATAGCTCACATACCAAACAGTTTACCTACTTCACATTTACAAGTCAACGGTTTTTTTTTTTCAGTATGTTTGCATAGATGTGCAGCCATTTCAGAACGTTTAGAACGAGAAGGTCTGTACCTATTAGTAGTTACTCCAAGTTTCTCCCCAACCACTCCCAGCCCCTGGCAAGCAATAAACTACTTCCTGGCTCTCTAGATTTGTCTCTTCTGGACCTTTCAAGAAAGGGATCATAAAATATGTGACCTTGTGTGACTGGTTTCTGTCACTAAGCATGTTTAAACAGTTCATCTACATTGTAACCTGTATTGATATTGACACTTCATTCTTTTTTATGGACAAAGAATATTCTATTGTATGATTCTATCACACTTGTTTATCTGTTAATCAGTTGATGGACTTTTCTTTTCCACATTTCTGGCTACTTATGTAAATATTGCTGCTCTAAACATCCTTGACCAGGTTTTTTTGAGGACGTATACTTTCAACTCCCTTTGGTATGTACGTTCGAGTGAAATCTCCAGGCCATTTGGTAACCCTGTGTTTAACTTTATGGGAAACTGCTGCACTGTTTTCCAAAGCAGCACCGTTTTACACTCCCTCCAGCAGGTGTGAGGCGTTTGACTTCTTCACATCCTCACCAACAGCTCTTATTGGGTGCCTTTGTGTTCATAGCCATTCTAGTGAGCTGCTGTCTCTCTGTGGGTTTGACTTGCATTTCCTCTTGACTAAAGATGCTGAGCATGGTTTTTGCTTTTTAGTTATCTGTATATCATCTCTGGAGAAGTTTCTATTCAAATCCTTTGCCGATTTAAAAAATTCGGTTACCTTTTTGTTCTGTTGTAAATTCCTGTATTTTATATTATATTCTTATGTCTGGATATAAGTCCTTTATATTTTTCTGCATTCTATAGATTGTTTTTTCCATTTAATGGTATCCTATGAAGCACAAAAATTTTTAATTTTGATGAAGTTGTCCAATTTACCTAGTTTTTCTCTTGTTGCTTGTACTTTTCATGACCTGTTAGAAAAGCCTTTGTCTAACTTAAGGTCACAAAGATTTGCTGCTATATTTTCTTTTAAGTGTTACATTTAAATCTGTAATCCATTCTGAATTATTTTCTTGTGTGTGTATGGTGTGAGGAAGGGGGCCTAATTTCATTCTTGTACATGTCCAGTTGTCACAGGACCACTGTCAAAACAAAATTTGATCTTGTCAAGCACTAGCCCCTATCTGCTTTCATACACGTACACAGACGTGCACAAACTAACTCTCTTGATAGCTTCCCATTTCTCTCAGCGTAAAGATAGTGCCTCTGACCTGATTTACAAGGTCCATGACCAGACCTGTCAAATTACGTGACTGGGGATTTTTTAGCGCTCTACCTTTATTTTGGTTTTAAAGTTTTAGCCACTACTGGCATGAATTCGGTGCTTTGTAAGTCCTGTGTTTTCTTTTGCCACAGGTTAAACATGCTACTGTTTTTTTAAATGTTCTTTTTTTCTCTCTGTTAAGACACTCTTACCCATCCTTCAGATTTCAGCTTGATTGTTACTTTCTTATAAAAGCCTTGCTCCCTGGGAAAGATCTCCCTACAGTACCCTAACTGTGTTATAACACGTGTGATTTATTTTTGTGTTTTTAAAAATGTTTGTTTTTCCCACTGGTACATAGTTCATGCAGTTAGGGACTCTGTTAGCTTCTGCTCATCATTGTGATCGCAAACTCTGGCTTGTATAAATATGGATGGAAAAAATGAATGAGAAAAACCTCTTTCTTGCAGTAATTTGGGATCCTTTGTTAGGATAAGGATGGGGTCTCTTCTGGGTTTGTCTGGATCCTCTTGTGTTGTTTCCTTACTTTTATTAAGCAACAATTTATGGAGTGCCTATTGTGTGTCTGACATTGTTCTAAATGCCTTAGATATATTAGTAAACAAAACAAGAACTCTCCCCTCATGAAATTTATACCATAGTGAGAGATACAGGCAATATCAAAGTTCTATTAGTCTAAACTTTTGTTTTAGGATGAGTGGTAGTGATTTGTTGGCCAGCTATACATGACAGAGTCCCTGTCTTAGGTTTCTTTTGTAAATAAAATGATAATCATACCGCCTAACATTTTATTACTTTTTAGTCTGCAAAATATCCTCATTACATTATTTCATTTAATGGACATATAAATAGGAGCATTACTGCCAGAATTAAAAGCATGATTTTTGTTTTAGGGGTTTTTTTTAGACTAATGATAGGAAGACAAGTAAAAGTAAGTTTTTTTCCAGTTATCTGTCCAAAAGGTAATTCAACACAAGCTCTGCACAGTTCTAATATAAAGTTTTTCAAAGTTAATAAGATTCCTTATTTGAGAAAAAAATGAATATCTTAAAGACAAACTTTCTTGGCAGACAGAGGGCATTGAGCTGAAACTGTGTTGGAAATGGATCTGTAAAAGCAGTCAAATGTGCCCTGAGGCATAAGGATACTAATTTTGTTTTATTAAATTTTACTGTAGCTATTAATACATTTTGCTAGAGATTTATGTGATCAATTTATCCTATGGCCTGAACTAATTCCCTCAGTATATTTTATCAGAATATGTGACTTTTTTCTAAATTTAGCTTTATTTCTCAAGTTTTCCATGCATGGGGAATAGTGTCCTATGTTTCCAGACATGTTAAGTATTACAAGAACTTTTTTGAGTGTCTAAAGTAAGATAAAGCCAAAATATTATCATTGCCTTGGATGTTTTTCTGACAAAGAAACCAAGACGATTTACACCTTTGCATGTCTCCAGGGTTATTGAATTCTTCAATGAAATGACAAATAGATTACATTTTTGGTTGTGCGGGCTTCATTGCCCTTTACTCTTTCGATAATATTTGCCTGGGACAAGTAGTTATTTTTCAGCAACACATTCAACCATGGGTAAAAATATTTTATTAATGGCGGAGGTGAACTTAATTAATAACCCACAGGTGTGGCAGTGGGACAGGCCACTCTCCATCTCAAATCCAAAGAGAACAACTCCATCAGTTGTCCCAAATTTGCATCGAATCTCTATGGGATTCCAGATAAAACTCACTCATGAGCAAAAGTGTGTATCGGCAAATTGCACTCAAGTTCCCTGTTTATAGGTAACTTATTTCAGAAGGTGTTAGTTACAGTGATAGTCCTAATCAGGAAAATTCCTTAGGGAATTCTTGCAACGTGTCAGTAAGAATCAGTATTGAGATACTGATGTTCTTTAACGTGTTTTGCAATTTGTTTGAATGTATAAGTGGTTTTACAAACACGTGGGATACCTTTGTGACTGTAAATGATCTTGGAATAAACTGTTGCTTTGTGCGTTTTAAAAACAAGGATAGTGTGTAAAATAATTTTGTATTTATTAACATTTAACTGTGTTTATATTTGTAAATTGAGTTTCCTTTCTTCTTTCCTTGCTTTCCCTCTCAATTTCTCCCTTCCCTTCTCTTCTCTTTCTTCTGGTACCAGACTTGTTTTCCTGAAAGTCAGCATAAGAAAGTCAAAACAATAAAAACTTCAGCACTGTTTCAAAACCATACAGCACGCCAGTCCTCTTACTCTCTTTTACAGAGAAATTGTTTGCGTCGGCTCATCTACTCATTTTGTGTATGCAAGGGATTCTCGCTGTCCTTGTTTACTAGTTATTAGGAGTAGACCCAGAGAGGAGTTCAGAGAAGTAACAGGTGCTGGTCCAGGATCGGTCCAGGGAGAGGCTTCACTTTTTACTCTGAGTGAAAAGGAGCCATTGGACAGTCATGAATGAAGTGATGCACCAGTCGATGCTGAGTTGAGAACTGCCTGTTGGGGGAAGGCAGAAGGAGGGAGACCAATTTGGAGGCTATCCACATACTCCTAGCAGGAGACAACAACGGTCTGGACCAGGATGGTTGCAGTGCAGATGCTAAGAGCTGCTCAGATTTGGGGTGTAGGTTGATGACAGAGCAACTAAACGTACTGGCAGTTTACACATAAGGCTTTAGAGGAAAGAGCAACCCAGGATGGTTTTTAAGGGTTTTACCCTAAACTACTGAAAGGATGGTGTTGCTGTGAAATAAGATCAGAAAAACTATGAATAAAACAGGTTTTGAGAAGGATCAGATTTTCAGTTAGGAAAAATCTAAATGTGGGTTGTCTGTTAGCCGCTCCCATGGTGGTTTTCAGTAGGTAATTGGATGTGTGAATTTTAAGTTCAAAAGAGAGTTCTATCTGGGAGTTGTTTTTTTGTTTGTTTGTTTGTTTTTTGTTTTTTGTTTTTTGGTGGAGGGAGAACTATCTATCTATCTATCTGTTTACTTATGAAGGTTCTGGGGATTGAACCCAGGACCTCGTGCATGGTGAGCATGTGCTTTACCACTGAGCTCTACCCTCCCCCCACAATCTGGGAGATTTAAATTTAGCGAACATCACTTAATGAAAAGTTTGTAAATCATCATCTGGATGAAATC